CCCTGGGTCAGCATAGCTTAGTATAACTCTGTGCTCAAACACTTTGAGCCGACAAGTCTTCTACCCTCTGCCAAAGGATCTTTGTTTGGGTTGGGGAATGCATTCACTCACTGTTCAAGAAGTTTGCAAGTCAGCCCTCACTTTTACTTTCCCCTCCACTTTCTGTGTCCCCTTACAGCATGTGCACAAGCATCATATTCATCAAGGGACCTGCAGAAAGCTGGAGTTGGTTGCTTCTGGTCTCTTATGAGCATGCATGCAGCCTTGCACACGTGTGCATCCTTTCAGACTGCCAGGGATATTTGGGGATTATCAACGCCCACTATAGCCTTCTTATTCACAGGATCTCCCTCCAAATTTTCTGGCTGGTCTGCAGGTATGTTGCTTGCTGCATTCAGTGTTACCTCCTCAGGCTAGCTGGGAAGTTGCCCTTTCCCATTTTTTTGCCTTTGAGTTTGCAGTTGTTTTCAACCATACCCCAAGGTTTTTTTTTTTTTTCCCCCTTGCTCGTCTCTAAAACAAGATAACTGCCTCCAGCATCTGATTTTTATGGTTTTCCCTGCCCTGGTAGAACTTCACTGAAGGTACTGGAGATATGGAGGAGGTGGGAGCAGCCCAGGTTGGAACCATAGCTATGCTTGCCCCAGGTTCAGTAGTTTTTCTAGAATAAACAAATAAACGTTATTTGTTGTATGCATTTGATCCATTTCCAGAGTCTCAATATGGTTGTTTTGAAAATATTGTCCAGTTCTATCATCGTTTTAAAGGGAGAGGATTAGCCAAGTTCCTCACACCACCATTCTGGAAGTTCCCCATGCTACAAAAATTAGGGGGTGCGAATTGCTGCAGCACCTCTTTGTCTGCATGGGCTTGTGATGCATTGTGAATATTCCCACTTACCTAGGGTATTAGTGTCATGCACAGAACCACAAAACTTCAACAGACACCTAGTTGGCTGTTCAAAACAGCCTGGGTGGTGTTGCAGCATGAGTGAAGTACTCAAACTTTAGCTCGCGTCTGCCTAACGTGGCGGAGGGATATGGGAGAAAGACTGCATGTTACCCAGAGGTTACCTAAAAGCCTGTCATTCTGAAAGCGTTGACTGACGAGCTACAGCAAACTGGTGCCTCAATGAATTGGTAGATAAATGAGCTCTGTCGCATCTCTTTCTGAGTTTGAGATTTGCAGATGCTACAGGCTACTTTGAGTAGACCTATGTCATTATCAGATGATAGGCCTCCTATGTTACCTAGACATAAACCTTATACAACTTTTACTAAAGTATATAATGGAATTCAGTGCATAATCATATCCAAAAATATCTTTTGTTCATTTTTTTCAAAGGAAAGATATACTTAAAACAGAAAAGCAAATTTTAAGGATATTTGAGAAGATTTGTGTTATGAAATACATGTGAATTGTGTACTTTTTTCAGTTCCTCAGATGAGATTTACTCCCTCTATTTAGTGGGTCTTCGCGTGTACTGTGTTCTTTTTTCCAGGGTAACTCCTAATCTTCCTTCAGAATGCAGGTCTGTCATCACTTTCCGGGAATCCTTCCTTGATCGATGGACCTTGATTTGGTCCATCCCTATTATCATTTGTTACCATAGCACTGTGTACTTCTAAATTCAGCTTGCACGACAGTATTAACCGGTTTGTTTGTATGAATCTTTTCATTCACACTAAACTCCACCAGGACAAGGACTATATAACACCCACTTGCAACCAACCATATGCCATGAACCACCCAAAACATGACCCAAACTGAACTGGGCATCTCAATACCGTCCACCCCAACCCTGTGTTGTCTCCCTTTGTGAGTGGTTCCACTTTTCGTCCTCCTGGTCACATTTCTTTGTTTGATTAATCCTGATTACTTTCACGCTATCTTTGTTATTTTCACTCCTCTCCATTCTCACTGCTACTGCCTTTGTTCAGGTTACTAAAGTCATCTGCCACCTTGTCTCATCACTCTCTGATACATTCTCCAGTGAATCTCATTGGAATTTAGGAAATTTTTCTAAATGCCATTTTAACCACATTGCTCTCATGTTGAAAATCCTTCACTTGCTTGAAAAACAAACCAAATTGTTCAGTATGGCACACATCATCAGGGCTTAGCAATTTCTCCTGCCTTGTCTCTTTTCTATTTTTTGGTTCCTAAGCTTCAATACTCATTTCTTTCATATAATACGTTTTTATATAACTTCCATCTGTTTTAACACTAACTTTCTAATATGTTTTACTGGGTAGTAAGGCAAATACTCCATTACTCTTTAGCAAAGATATGTAGAATCTTATGCTTTTATTTTTTCATATAAAATTTAAAATAAATATGTCAAATCTACCTGAATTTTTTGTAGAACTAAGAGGCTGTTCCTCAAAATATACCCCCAACCCCCTCTGCTTTTCTGTGCATGTGATGCAACTGATCCTTCTGTTTCTAGCAAGAACAAAGGAGGTGATCTTGGCCGTCTAGTTACCTTAGTCCTTGATCTGTTTCTGTTGCAAGTACAGTGTCTGTTTTCAGGCTGCAATAGCTCCCCAGGCAAACATATCACTCTGCTAAGAGAGAAGGTCTCGGGTTAGGGTCATGTGACCAAACGCTCTTGCAGCCTGAAACTCAAGAAAACCAGTGTTAATAAATAATTCTCTAGTTAATTATTACATTTTGTATGTTCTTATTTATATTTATAGTATTTGCAGACATGCTCTATATTTCTATTATTTTTCTTCTGCTTATGTTTTGGGATGTGATTTTGAAGCAATGTTATCTGCTTTCTTTTTTGATGGACTTTTAAATTTCTCTTCAGCAGTTGGATCCCTTTGTTGCTTTCCAGCATGATAATGAATTTATATATCTTTTTTAACAGTCTTTTTTTTACTATGCTTTTTGCTGAGGAAGATTGACCGTGAGCTAACATCTGTTGCCAGTCTTCCTCTTTTTTTTCCCTCTCCAAAGCCCCTGTACATAGTTGTATATCCTAGTTGTACATCCTTCTAGTTCTTCTATGTGGGAATGCCACTTAGCATAGCTTGACAAGCAGTGCTAGGTCGGGGTCCAGGATTCAAACTGGCAAATCCCAGGTCACCGAAGTGAAGCCCGCAAACTTAACCACTACGCCACATATTTTTAATCATTTTAAGTATTTTGGAGATATGAGCTAAATGTTTGTGCTTTCTGCTACCTTGGTTTAATCTAGTTTTCTATCAACATCATAATTTAGCCAACTTTTCTAACTGATTCCATTTTCTATTGTACTTTTATGATCAATAAGATATGATTTGAAACTGACTATGCCTTCCTTTCTTTTCATCTCCCTCCTCAGGTTTTGGTGAAGTAATATAGAATTTAATTCTTTGATTATTATTAACCTTTTTTGAGAAATATTAAACAAATGTGTTAAATTTTATGAGTAAATTTTAAATTGTTTAGAGTTAACTTTATATTTCTTTTCTCATTTCTTAAGTTTTTGACTCGGGTTAATTTTTGGTTTTACACAGATAATTTGTTTCATACAGGAGGGAGTTATGTGGCATATTCTCTGAGTTTTTGAATGTTCACATATGGATTAATTATATCCTCATCAGAGAATCATAATTTTCCTGAATAAAAAATTTTAGGATTTTTAATTCTGAAATATTTCCCTATAACATTGCACATGAGGTATCTGAAGCCAATGCCATTCTCTTCTTTATAAACGGTATTTTGTCTTAAACTTTGTAAGATTTTTCTTTATCCTTAGAATTCAGAAACAATACCAGGATGAGACTCAATGTGGACCTTTTGCAATAATTCTGATCAGTGTTCTGTGTGTCCACTCTATAATAAAAGTCACAATTTTCGGTTGGATTTTGTTATGTTTTCTCCAAAGGACTTTTATCTCTGAAAGCTTAGTTTTTCGCAAATTTCTTGGCACAAGGTGGACTCTGACTGCATGTCAGTTGAATGAATATATGAAAACCAAACAAAGGAATGGCATTTCAACTGCCTTTGGGCTACCACAGCAAGCATCAGTGTGAAAAACAAAAATAAAGAACCAGCATAGTAATTAACTCTCCCATGAACACTTCAGTGCCCTAGAGTCACTTCCCTGCCTCCAAAGAAACTCCTCTCTAGTTAGACACTTCCAAGGGGACACCAGTGCTCTTAGGTCATGAACTGTGAAGGGAAGGTTGCCTGACTGTCCTTCATGCTCAGAGTGAAGTTTGCTCACCCACCTGTAGACACACTCAACACAGTTGGGGTAGGAGTGGGGATCCAAGACCCCTGTGTTCCTTTCAGATCCACTCATACAACATGGGTGAAAATCTACCTGCCTCCCAGCTCATCACTTCCAGGTCAGGCTCACTCATGGACCCCCATCAACAGTTTCAATTGGTCCAACCAGGAAAACTGAGAAAAAGGGCATTTTCTTTAGTTTATCAGATAACCTGTATTGCTACTCCTGCTCCTTTTTCACTATGGGTTATGGGGATTTGCCTGTGAATTATACAGCTACTCTCAGGATGCCTAGTATCTTCTGATAGTGATTTTGAGGAGAGCAGAAAGAAGAGACAGAGGGAAGACTGAGGGGACAGGGAGAGCAGGCAGGGCAAGTGAGAAGAGTTAAGGTACACTACAAAGATAACAATAATGGGTAAGTAGAGAAAAACAGAGAAGACCAAGAAGAGGGACAAGGGGAGGCCAGGAAGCAGATGAGAGGAGAAGACCACAGAGAGATAAGGAGTGGGGAGACTCCTGGAAAGGCCACTGGGCACCATTGAGGACCTTCCATCACTTCTTTTCACAGAAGAAGATGTTTACAACCCAAATGTAGACTTGATTTCTCAAGGTCAAAAGGTACTGAATTTTCCAGCCAGACCACAGACTACAGACTTCGTCATAAGCCAGGACTCCTCAGAGGAGGACACAGACAAGAGCAGGAAGAAAATCTGGAAGCCAGACAGTGGGAGAGGTGGAGGGGAAATGAGAGACCCTGTGGGAAGCCTGTGGCTGAGGGAGGCAGTGGGGTTTCTCTGACAGGGAAGAGGGCAGAGGGAGAGGTTTATCTGTTTGTGTGGCAAGGGAAGTTAGATGAAAGTGTGAGAGGGTTTGGAGGGGAGCAGACATCTGAGTTCTGAGGGCAACTTGTCCTGCTGAGGCATCTTCACCAAACAGTGCTTCAATGCTGCTCCTGCTGCTCCTGCTCTTCAAGGGACTTCCCTGCCATGGAGCAAGCACAGTGTGTAAGAAGGGCCCAGATGGAAAGATACTGAGGTTGGGCACAGCAGGGTGGAGAAGTTCTGGGGAGGACCTGGGGGAAGAGAAAAATGCTCCTCCAGGATGCCCTTGGAGTCTGCATGCCAGGCTACTCTCAGGCAAAGTGTCCTTGCCTCCAGTCTCAGTTTCTGTCTCTAAATTTGAGGAGAGGAAGCTGGTCCGGGGGAAGGGGATATGGGTATGCGTATAACCTGTGTAACCATCTCCATCCTTCCCCTTCTATGCGAGCTTCTCTTCTCTCATCCTTTCACAATCTCTCCGCTGCTCATTCCTCTCTCTCAGCTCCCCTGCTCCTAGGATTCCATCATCCAGCAGCAGAAGAGCCCCTCTCCTACCACTTCATCCAGATCTCCTCCTTTGCCAACCACAGCTGGGCATACACCCAGGCCTCAGGCTGGCTGGGCGAGATGGAGACTGAGGCCTGGGACAGTGTCTCGGGCACCATCCGCTTTCTGAAGCCCTGGTCCCAGGGTAACTTCAGCAAGGAAGAATTGAAGAACCTTGAGGCGCTACTGGAGTTGTACTTGCACAGTTTCACTACGGAAGTGCAGGTCTTCGCCAGTCAGTTTCAGTTTGAATGTGAGTTTCTTGTCCCAAGCTGGTATTTACCTGAGCGCTCTGATCATCTGCCAAAGGGGAAGATGATGTATGGGCTCTGACCTTCATCCAACCTCCTGATCTTACTTCCTATCCTGTTTGGCTCATGCTGTCTCCTCTGTCTCACCCACCACCACTATTCCCATTCTTTCCCTCACCCTACCACACACACAGAAGGGCCTACATGTACATATCTCTTCAGACCCCTGAATATACCCTCATTTTCTGGCTTCTTGGAATAGTTTTCTCCTTTTGATCTTCTGCTCACCATCCCTGGCCTCAGACACAGCCTTTCCAAACCAGAACTCTTATCTCTTTTCTCCCTGGCCTGAGTGTTCCCGTGCCCAGGCCTAGACCTCACCACTCCCAACTGGGCTTTTTCAGACCCATTTCCTAGCTTCCTAGCAGCCTTCCCAACTAGCTCATCCACGTTAATTATTTCAAAATACCTTTATTACCTTCACATTTTCTTCCCACAAATTTCCTCCCCTTTTCCCACCCTAACTCTGGTCTCCTATGTAATTTCCCAGCAAATTTTCCTCCCCTTGAATCTCTTTGCTTTCTAGATTGTTTGCTTTCCCTCCCTGGAATTCTTTCCATATTGATTCTCTCTTCTTTTTCCACCCTCAGATCCCTTTGAGCTCCAGGTATTATTTGGCTGTCAAATGCGTGCAGGGAAACCCTCAGAAAGCTTCTTAAATGGGGCATATCAAGGATCAGATTTCCTGAGTTTCCAAGGAAATTCCTGGAAGCCATCCCCAGGAGCAGGGAGTCGGGCTCAGAATGTCTGTAGGGTGCTCAATCACTACCGGGTTATTAAAGAAATCGTTCAGAGACTTCTCAGTGACACCTGCCCTAGACTTCTGGCAAGCCGCCTTGATGCAGGGAAGTCAGAGCTGGAACAACAAGGTGAGCCTAACCCTCTCTCCCCTCCTATTCTTAGTGCTTTAACTCTTGTCTTTGAGTTTTCCACTTTATAATTAGAGGCCAATAGATGAGATGTGTGGGTTCAGGATTATCTCTTAGACAAGAGAAAGAAGTGATTACTCACTCTGCTAAGGCACCCTGAGTCAATGAACTCTGGCCTAGGGTGCCCTCCTAAATTCCTTTTCTCCTCATCTTCTCATCGTTAGTGAAACCAGAGGCTTGGGTGTCCAAAGGCCCCAGTCCTGGGCCTGGCCATCTGATGCTGGTGTGCCATGTCTCTGGCTTTCATCCAAAACCCGTGTGGGTGATGTGGATGCGGGGTGAGCAGGAGCAACCAGGCACTCAGCGAGGTGATGTGCTGCCCAATGCTGATGGGACATGGTATCTCCGAGTAACCCTGGATGTGACGTCTGGGGAGGCGGCCGGCCTGACTTGTCGAGTGAAGCACAGCAGTCTAGGAGGCCATGATATAATCATCCACTGGGGTGAGAAAGAACTGGGGCCCAGCTGGGAAATGATAATCTTCCCATTGTCCTAGGGCTAAGGGGTGGGGAGCTTGGGAAATGGGTAGGACAGCTGCGCATGAAAGGATAAAAATGGGAGAATCAAAATACAGAATGGTGGAGAATGACAGCAGTTAAATTTCAAGACAATGGAAGTAGGGGATTAGAGGTACAAAAGAGAAAAGACAGAGGGACCTAGTCATTTGGTGAAAGAGAGAGGGGAGGGGGCAGATCATGGGCATAGACTCAGGAGCAATTGAAATGAGGGCTCTGGAAAATATAGATGAACACCCTGGGAAGGTTCCACCCTTGTGGAATGAGAAGCATTAACTTGTAGAAAGAGAGTACTTTATGGATTGACATCCTTGTTTTATCCCCAACTAGACGGAAACTCCATCTTGCTGATATTGATCTGTTTGACTGTAATAGTTATCTTGGTCATGTTGGTTGTAGTTGACTTACGGTTTAAAAAGCAGAGGTGAGTCTTTTCTAGTTCTATTTCTTCATCTTCTTATCAACTCACTCTTCTTTCCTCTCTCTTCTTTTTCTCCTTCCCCCTTTCTCTCTGATTTGCCTTCTTTGAGATCCACATTCTCTTCTTTTCCCACAGCTCAAATCAGAACATCCTTTATCCTCATGTACCCAACCCTGCCTTTTCCACAAGAACTAACACTCGAGACCCCAGGAGTTCAGGACATCCGCTCTGCTTGGCACAAGACTTGTGGATCAAAAGCAAATTCTTGAAGAATTGGAAAACAAGCCTAAAGCGGCTCTGGTGACATTAGTTTTACTTTACACATAAAATCCTCTTCTGCTTCTTCTTAAACATGAGTTATACCTACAAAAAAAAAGCATGATTTTGTTAGAACAGCTTGTTCTAGCAGAAATCCTGAGCCATTTTGGAAATCTCCTTTTTAGCTTCCAGCATTTTCTTTCTGCTTTGGCCACATGTTCATTACTCTAATTCAGATGCCTCTTTCTCATGGATGCTTCCCTAGATTGCCCAACTGAAAGCTCTACTGTATTTCCAAAATTGGACTGATCTTCTTAAATACACACATCTTTTCCTACTTTCAACAGCAGTTATGTAGGTTTTTCTCTTCTCTTTTCTCTCCGTTGCTTGAAAGCAGGATTTAAGTGTTTGTATCTGTTACCAAAAGCCTTACCTGGATTCAGGGCCAGATTCATGGGCAATGTGATCTTTGCAGTTGTTGCTATCTTGAAATTCTTAGTGATTTTTGAAGAAGACATACTGCATTTTCATTTTGTACTGGCCCCACAAATTATGTAGCTGGTTTGACGTGAATGATATGTTTCTCAATAAATGTTGATTAAAATAAACTTATTGTCAAATTAAGTGATATTATCTCAATCCGTTACCTCTTTGACATCTTTGCATTATTTGGCTGTGTTCTTATTAAAACTCTTTCTCTCTCCCTGTGTCTCTCATCTCAGATATAGGAGGCAGGTAAGTGTTCAAACTTCACAGTGATTGAGGTGCTTATGCATCTTCAGAGATTATTAAAAAAACAATAACATATGAGATGTCTCCTGTCAGAGTGAGGATGGGGTTGGAATGGTATTCCTAATTCTCTGAGATTGTGTGTGATTATGTGTGTCTTTGTGGATGCACATATTCAGGGAAGAAATTCATATTTGAGCAGTTGAGAAGAGGACATGGCGGTGGAGGATAATTTTGATGGTCAGAGCCAAGGCAATGAAGGAAAACAGTGATCAGATGCCAGCTAAACTATATGCTTTTCTTTGTTATTGGTTTATTACTATAATATTATGATTTATAGTTCGATTTCACTTTGCTTTTTAAATGTGGCTTTTTAAAATTAATTGCCTTAATTGAGATATATTTGATTAACACTGTTGGAGAGCAGGAAGTTGTCAAGGTTCAGAGTTCATACTGATGTCCAGCCAACACCTTCCCTTTGATGGGATAATGGAGCAGATTCTGTAGATTTTTTTAGCAGAAATTTATAACTTCCTATGGGGCATTTTTAAGTTAACAGATAGGGTTTCATGATCGCTTATCAAGATGTACTGTTACCCATGAACAAAGAATTGGGGCCAGCCCTTTCACTGTGAGTCCATCGCATTCTGTATGACATGTTCAGACAGCCTATCTGGAGACAGCCTGCCAGAGTCCAGAGAAGAGGGCAGAATTTTAAGTAGCTGTTTGGACCAATAAATGATGAATGCCAAGGTTCCATTACATGGTAGAATGCCACAAGGGGCAACCTCTAACAAAATGAAGAGATTCAAGTAGAGAAACTTTAGTTTCTAGCACAGATGTGCAGTGAAATATATTTCTGACGTTTCCCATTTGAATGAATTTTTCCCCACTACACAAATTTTTTGATCACAATAATTCCCAAGCTCCTAATCTGGCTCAAGCTAACTTCTCTGGCCCCATGTCCAGTCTTTCCTCTATTGTATATTATGCTTCTGTGACACTAGACTTCTTTTTCTCCCTCAATTATACCAAGTTTCTTCTCAGCTCCAGGCCATTATGTTTACTTTTCCCTCTGCCTGGACTATTCTTCACCCGGATCTTCCATGGTTTATTTCAGGGCACCTTTTAGTTCTCAGATCAAGTGTCACCCTCGTAGAGAGGACTTTTCTGATCAGTCTAGCTAAAGTGGCACATTCTACCTCAGACATACTCTATTCCAATATTCTTTAATTATTTATTTTAAATAGTAATTTAGTTGAAATGATCTCTTTTGTTTTTATTGTCTTTTTCATCTAAAATATATGCATGGTGACATCACAGATTTTATCTGTCTCGATCACATTTGTATTCCAGTGCCAAGATTATAGCCTGACATACAGTAGATGATTTAAAGTATTTTTGTTGAATGAACAAATGATATAAACTTTGACTTGACAGAAGAGGTTTTAGAGACACCAGTCTCTATGTGATAGGCCATAGATTTTTATGTACTAATATCTTTCCAAAGTACTAGTGTCACTGAAAGATGTACGTAGGCCATTGATATTATTCAAAGATGGTAAAATGATCACAATCAGTTCTCTCTTTCCTTCAAGTTATTGTCTTTATAAACATGGCAAGATTTCAAGACATGGATATGAACTTATGAAGGAGGGAGGGAATCTCAGAAGATTTCATCAGAGTCCTTTACACCGCAAGTGGCAAGCCCAGTTCAACATAAAGCGTTACTCTGGGTTTCTCTGCTGTTGCATTTTCGTGATCTTCAGGGAATCCCTTAGGGAAAGATGACTGCTGGATACAGTGATTTTCAGGAAACTCTGGGTTCCTGAACACAGTCATCTAATGCTTTCTAATTCCACTCCTAGCAAGGTTTGTAGTCGAGAAGTGGGCATACATTTGGGTGAGGCACAAGACATAGCCCCAGAAAAAGATGGATCTGGGCTTCCTGCACATATGCATCTCACTTCTCCATGAAATTGGCATAGATTGGTTCAAAATTCCCTGAAGGCATATGATCTTGTTGCCAGGAATATTAGCTCAAGGAGATTTGAGGCCATTTTAAATATTGCTTCATGGGATTGTCAGAAAAGTTCTTTGTCATCCCTTTAGTGTAGATCTTTGGGCTGAGTTATTTAATCAGAGTTCCTGGGTAAGGATCTAATGTTTAAGAGAAAAATGTGTCACTAAATCATCCCAGAACCAAGATGTCACCTAGTACTGTTAACCATATTATTTTGACTGGCACTGTGAATCATGGGGCTTATTGCTTTAGAGGGCCAGGGTGATTTTTTCAACAGTTAGGAATAACACTTTCCATTCCTGCCAGCTATAAAACCAGAAGGTAGCTTGCTTTGCTGACAGCACAAACTTGGAGCTTGCTGTAGTCTGTTATGCACACAAATACAATATAAATGATAGGAGAAGGGCTTGGAAAAAGAGGTGGAGGGGATATTCTTGGTTGTTGTTAAATTTCTCTAGGAATGTCATTAATTGCTGGAGTGAGGCTGCAGTAGGACTGATGAAATCAGAATATGCTGGGGCCAAAACTCAGAGGAGCACAGTAGCCATATGTCCTTGACAAACCGTGGCCTTAGAGAATGTCTATCTGATTTTTTCTGCCTAATGAATGAAGTAAGCTGAGGCTGTGAAAGACTTGATTAAGTGGAGTGACATAAACTGAAACAAAGATCCAGGTCTCCAAGTATATCACCTCAGATGAAGAAAGATATTTTCTCAACACCTGCCCTGGAGCCTGTGTTCAGAGAGAGAGAGGTATTGTTAAAGGCTTCTTCAGGTTACCCATAGAGGGTGCCTATGGATCTTTAGGATTTATAGTTTACTCTGAAGGAATTAAAACTAGCTTGTAATTTTTCTTCATTGATCATTTTCTCATTTTTACTTTCTTCTGTAAGTAGTCTCATCATTTTATTAGTCTCTCACGATCAAAATTTTCTTCTCTTTGCTTCATCATTCTTCCTGAATAGCCAGTCGTCAAAGCCTCCTTTACAAGTTCTCTTAAATTCCATTCGCTTTTCCATGGTCCTGATCTAAGTGTGAACAGTCTTCCAAGAAATGTATACAAATGAATGACCCCATTATCAATGTGTAATAAGGACCACATATTGAGCATCAGCTCAATTATTTCCAAAAATAAAGGAAGTACCTATTTCATGGATAAAATCGATTGAATAATAATTTTAAAAAAATATTTAAATGGAGCCTGCTGGAGGCCAGACACTTTTCTACATACTTTATACATATTAACTCATGTAATCCTCACAACAATCCTGAGGCAGATACCATTATTCTCATTTTATAGATGAGGAGACAAAAGTCACATAACTAGTAAATATTGTAAGCAGTTTCCCCCAAATCCATGCTTTAACCAATACACTACACACTCAACAAGTAATTATTGGAAGACTACCATGTGATAGATGCTATGATAGCTAATGAAATACAGCAGACACAAGAGTAAAATATTCTTACACAAAGAGCTTACCTGGTAGTGGATGGCAGGGAAGACAGACAATAAGTAAATAAAAATACTATATGTAAGCTGATGGCATATGCTACAATTATGAACTGAATCAGGGGAAGAGGACCAGAGAGACAAACAGGCTGTTATCTCAAAGATGGTGGACAGAATGGGCCACTCTGAGAAAGTGGCTTTTGAGAAGAGACCTAAAGCAGGAAGAAGAAACAAGGCATGCAGTATCTGCGGGGAGAGCACTGCAAGCAAAGGAACTGCAAATAAAAGGAGCATTATACTAGGTGTGTTCTCAAAACTGTCAGAACTCCAGCTTAGCTGGATTGCAGTAAGTGATGGGGAACATAGTAGGAGATGAGATCAGTGAATTGGAGTCAGATCATAAAGGGGCTTTATAGGCCATTGCACAGGGATTGAAAGTCATTGGTGATATTTGAATAAATATGTAGCAGTTGTTAGGGGAAAGGAGATGACTTCTTAAATACAAGTCTTAACTAGCCTCATCATTGGGTGACTGCAAAATGGAGCACAATTGTATCTATACCCAAATTACAGTGACCCCTATACGCTTACCTACACTGTACAAACTTAGCCCTACTAACAGTATTCTTCATCTATACTAACAAACCAGTCATTCAGCATGGGTTGCCAAGTGGCATCTGACTTGGCTTTTCCTCTCCAGTTCATGCTTTCTTTTGCTAACTGTCTGCTGCCCACAGGGTTGCTTGGAGCAGTTTCACAGCTTCCACAGCTGCTAGTACACAAAATAAGATGATGATATCTTCTCACCTGTTACTTTTAAAGCTTCTGACCAATTCTTAGGTGCCTTTATGGAAGGAATTCTCCATGCAGAGGCATAGGGTATGGCTTATTCCTCAGTTCTTTGTCTCATTTGA